CTATCACTACAGATCCTGGTCCCTATGCCAGCTCTGGGCCCAGGCCTATTCTAGAAACCACATCCTGCATGGTGCCTGGTAGTCAAGCCCTTTGAGCCCAAGCCTGAGCGGTGTGATGGGTACAGGGCCCTGGGCTGTTCACCTCCCCAAACTCCAATACATAGCTATGTGGGCTTCCTTATCAATCTGTTCACTCATTCAACAGACATTTAGGAAAGCCAGGTGCCAGGCAGGCTCTGTTATGGGCACTGGGAATAACATGGTGAGCATGGTGGAGTTTCCATTCTGGGGGCAGTGGTGGCTAGTAAACTGGCCAATAGGAAAGCATCAGACAAATGACAGGGAAGGGGAGCATTCCTATAAGCTGTTGGTTAGGAAGGGCCCCTCTGAGGACACAACATGTCAACGGAGACCTGAATGGCAGGGGGTGGCTGCCTATGAAAAATCCAGCGAAAAAAATCACCAATGCAAAGGCATTGGGGGCAGGAAGAGGCATGGGGGTAGTGGGGCCACTGTAGCAGGGTAGGGCGAAGCAGGTAGGGCCAGGGAGTGACAAGATCTGACAGAAGGTTTAAAAAAATCATTCTGGATGCTCCATGGAAAATGGGTTGGAAGCAAAGAGAGCAGTTGCCATTGCTCATGTGAGAGTGATGGGGACACTGGGGATGGACAGAAGTAGGTGCTTTAGGCACGTTTTGAGTGTCGAGGCAGACACGACTGTGAATGCAGGCAGGCAGTGAGGGCACGAACCCAAGGGCACAGCTGTGGTGTTCCCCCCCCTGCGAACTCAACCACAGGAAGAAGCAGAGGTGAAGGGGAAATATATATGTTAAGTCCGAGACCGCTATGAGACATCACAGGGGTGGGCCAGAGGCTCAGGGAAGAGAACCAGGGCAGGAGCTGTACCCTGGAGGGTTGTCTTCATCCAGGGGAGTTGTGGGGCAGGATAAAACGCTCCCAGAGTTTACATACAGGAGGAGAGGTCCCAGGACCTGGCTGGCCGATGTGCATTCAGAGCAGTGTTTCTCCCTTGCAGCATCATGTTCGACAGACCCCATCACGAGGGGCTGCCCTGCATACCTTAGGATGTTTAGCCACACCTTAGGTTTCTACCTGCTAGATTCAGTAGCAAACTCCTCGCCTTCTGTTGCGGCAGTCAAGGTGTCTTCAGGTATTGCCAAATGTCTCTTGTGGAGGATGAGGAGTCACTTTCAATGAGAGTCACTGAGTTTGGGAGAAGAAAAGGAGGCTGAGAAGCGGTGGCCTCTGAAGAAGCAGAACTTCCATTGTTCCAAGGAAAGGGAAGAAAGGCAGTAAGCCTCTGTGTCTCCATCCTGCTGAAAAACCCAGAAAGAGGCCTAGCACTTGGTGACCTACCAGGAGTGGCAGGCTGCAGGTGCTTCCTAGGGGTTAAGGAGGGAATGAGGGACTAAGGGCTGAGCCTGGAGGCAGAGGAAGAAGGCAGCCTGGGCTGGGTAGGGTGGCAGGGGGCTGGGCAGGAAAGCTGTCTAAAGAGGGGCTGGCTCGCAATGCAGAGGTGACTATGCTAGAGGGAGTAGGCTCTGGGTCCCAACCAGAGGACCTGGCCTTCACATGCAGCAAAAAGCTTGAGCTCAGGCACCTCTCACTGGGTATGTAGGGGATGCTCCTGCCTGGCAGCTTCCCTTTCTCCTGAGTAGCAGGCAAAGCCACAGCAGGGAGGGGTTTGGGGTGGGTGAGGCAGGGACAGAGTTTCAGTGGGAAGTTGAGCAGGCTAGAAAAGTCTGGAGCTTTACAGTCATGAGTTGTACAGCAAAGCCAGTAAATGCTGTGAGGGTCTTGTTCTGGAAAGGCGGCCACTTGGCTGAAAACAGGAAGTGGGAGGAGGATTTAGGTTTGATTAGGCTGGGCTTTGTTAGACCAGTGATGATTCCAGGGTCAAACAAGGTGTCATGGAAATAAGGGTCCCAAGGATATCTGGGAAAGTAGGATGTGCAGCTCAGTGGGGCCTCAAGGCAGGGAAAGTGGTGCTAGGAGCTGCTGGGGTCCCACCCAGGAGATCTGGTGCCACCACCTCACCTCTCAGGTCTGGAGGAGAAGCTGCTTCCAGGGCTTTCAACTGAAGTGTCACATTTCTTACGAAGGTCTTGAGGCCAGGGTGGGAAAAATGATCTTGCCCTTATCTGAAAAACTGGTATCACATGCTAGGTCACCTTTCCCCTATGGTCCCTCTTTCCAAGGACGTTACTTAGGCACTACCTGAGAGTTCTCATGTGTATGTCATACACTGATACCTGCTGCCACTGTCCCTCACTATCAGCATGGTCAGGTATTGGGGACAGGGAGGGGATGTCCCTCTGATGCATGGGGAGGAATGCAGCAAGTCCATCCCCATTGAATGTGAAAGTGGTGTTGAAGGACCCGGAGAACAGGGGCCTCTATCCACCTGGGAGGTGACAGGTGAGTAGACCTTGAAAAGTGAGCAGCCTACCAAGACAGAAGAAAGAGTGAGGAGGGGTCTCTGGCAGAACAAGCAGCCCTGGAAAGGACTGGAGGCTGGGGACTCAGGGCGTGCCCAGGGGCAGTCCCATTCTGGTGGGGCAGAATGAAGGGTCAGGGCCTGGATTCCTACCCCTGCATCCCTGTGGGGCAGGTGGAGCAGGTGAGGCCAGAAGGTGTTTGTAGGGGAGATGGAGCACTGCAGGGTGTGGGACTCAGATATGCAACACCACTTTGGAAAACTGATACATCCAAAACAGTGGTCGTGGGAGGCTGTGGGAGGAGGTGGCAGTGGTGGTGGTGGAAAGCAGCAGCTGAGCCTCACGGCTGCTCGGGAAGCTCTGACCACCCCCCTGACTGCAGGGGGTACATCTCCCAGGTGTGTCACCTGTATGCAGTCTCCCTGGCTGTGCCCACATGGGTTGGTACTTGATTGATCAGTAGAGGGTGCCAGCTTGGTCTGGCACTTGGGCTTTCTTACCATGAGGTAGACCTCACCAGGGAAGACCCAGGCGAGCATCCCTCAGTAGGGATTCTATGGACCACCTGGACCTCAGTTTCTGCAGCATGCTGGAGACCTGGCCCTTTAAGGAAAACCGATCAGAAAACAGTGATGTTGGTCACAGTGTCTGGGGAGACACTCTTTGCCCCAATCTGAGTATGGATGGAGATGGTGGAAAGGCGGTCCATCCTCATGCCATTTTGGGCCTCCGGGGTGCCAGACTCTGCAGGTCCTAGGGTAGGGAGCAACAGGGATATGCAGGAACATACTCAAGTGGCCACCCTCACTCCTTCCTTGGTGAAGGAGCTGCTGGGTCCTCTCCATCCCTGGGTTCAGACCATGTTCAGTCCAGTCAGTGGGAAGGATGTAACCTATAAAACCTAGTCTGGAGTGGTCTGTTATGGGCTGAGGCTTGGAGGGGGCAAAGGAGGCTGGCTGCTCTCTCTGAACCTAGGTGGCATTGCCCCATTGGGCTGTGGTTGCACCTAATTGGAGAGCTGGGTAGTGTGGCAGGAAGGCAGAGTCAGTCTAAGATTAAGGAGAAGGCCGCTTGTAGCACTGCAACATGGCTGGGCAGCTAGTCTGGAGGATGCTGGGTCTGAGTTTGGATAAGGGCTAATACATTGTGGTCACTCAGAGGACACAGCTGCTCCAGCACATTGGCTTAAGGTGGGGGCCTGTGGCGGAGCCCCAATTTCAGAGATGAATTGAGGCTTATTTATACAGAAGGGCTGTGAGTTGTAAAGACGAAGCCTGGCTCTAGGCTGGGCCCAGACTGACGCTGGTGACAGTGGCTACGGGGAGAATGGGAGAGTGAGGCACCTGAGCAAGCGCAGTAGCTCAGCAGCTCTTTGAAGGTGGAGTGGGCAGGGGGTTTTGGATGAACTTTTTTTTTTTTTTTTTAAATCTCATTCATCTTTCAGTGCGGGCAGGCAAAGGCAAGCTCTTAGCTTCATCACGGCGGGGACACCTGCTTTTTCTCTGAGCAGCGTGGAAAAGACCCCACTAGGTCTCTCGCTCTTCTCAGTGGTCAAGAGTCTGGTGGCGTTCGCCACGCCCCTCATGCTACTTTGAGTCCAAACCAGCTTCCCGCTTACCTCCTTGACCCTTAATAGGGGAAAGTGAGGCAGCAACATAAATCCCAGACTGAATAGTCGCTTTTCACCGGGTTGGGAACCTTTTTGCGCTCCCAGGACGCGGGATGACGAGGGTCTCCAACCGGCTGAGGACGATCTCTGCACGCAGGCGGCAGCAGGGGGCGCTCGCTACCCAGAGACGTGCGCCTCCTCGGACTCCGCGGGTCGGACGGAGTCAGGTCTGCGTGGGGAAACATTTGGTCAAGGAGTTCAAGACAGTCTCTCTGTTTCTCTGATCCTCCCGCTTCCCTGATCCTTCCGCTGGGTTTGTTCACTCTAGGGTGCGTGTGTCTTACTATGCTCCAGCGCCCAAAGCTCCCGACCTTCTTTCTCCAGGAGGCTCTTGGGCGGCAGGAAGCGAGATCAGCTCCTGGCCACTATCCTAGACCTGGGTTGCTCGGCCCTAGCCTGGCAGGGAGCAGGAAAGTGGACGCTTCTCGGTGCCTCCTGATGCATCAAATTCGAGTCTCAGCTCCCCGCGGGGACTAATCCTTCCTCTTCTGCACGCATCCTTTCCAGAGCTCGGAAGACCCCAGACGTCGGGCCCCTCTGGTCTGGCTCGGAGCGGCGGCCGAGAGGAAAAGGGGTAGGGGCGCCAAGGTGTAGGCTGCGACGCGGGGAGGTTGCGTGCAGCTCGTCCATCCTTCTGCAAAGTACACCTTCACCCACCCTGCGTCGGATCGCCCGCCCCGCCTCCCTCCCTCCTCCTGCTCCCGCCTCCAGTCTCGTCCCTCCTCCAGCTCCGCTTGTTCTCCTCCCCATTCTTGTCGCGGCGGGCTGCCTGCAGGCGCGGTTCCGAGCGAGAGCCTGAGAGCTGAGCGAGTGCGTCTGCTCAGCGCTTCCTCCAAGGACCCACGGCGCACTCCCTGTCCGGTTCGCCCGATTCCGCGCCCCACCGTGCGTCCGGCAGCGTGTGGTGCAACAGTGCTACTTTCCTTCGGCCTCGGGAGGGACGGGGACCGCAGCGGGACAACTTGGAAAACTTCTCTGGGGCGGACCACGGGGACGCTGGGCGCCGGGGGAAGAGGATGTAGGAAGGCGATGCCTGGCCCCGGGTGTTCCCAGACCTCCTAAGCCTCCATGGGGCTTCAGACCCTTCTGCACCGTGGGAACGACCCCCTTGTGTAGTCGAACTGGGGTGGCGCTCTCTCCCACAGTGCGCGCATTTGACGGGGAACGCTCCTTTTGGCCACGTCCGGCCCCGCCATGGACCACCAGGAGCCCTACTCTGTGCAGGCCACTGCCGCCATCGCAGCGGTCATCACCTTCCTCATCCTCTTCACCATTTTCGGCAACTCACTGGTCATTCTGGCTGTGTTGACCAGCCGCTCGCTGCGCGCGCCGCAAAACCTGTTCCTGGTGTCGCTGGCTGCTGCAGACATCCTGGTGGCCACACTCATCATCCCTTTCTCGCTGGCCAACGAGCTGCTAGGCTACTGGTATTTCCGGCGCACATGGTGCGAAGTGTACCTGGCGCTCGACGTGCTCTTCTGTACTTCATCCATCGTGCACCTGTGCGCCATCAGCCTGGACCGCTACTGGGCAGTGAGCCGCGCGCTGGAGTACAACTCCAAGCGCACCCCGCGCCGCATCAAGTGCATCATTCTTACTGTGTGGCTCATTGCAGCGGTCATTTCGCTGCCGCCCCTCATCTACAAGGGCGACCAGGGCCCACAGCCCCACGGACGTCCCCAGTGCAAGCTCAACCAAGAGGCCTGGTATATCTTGGCCTCCAGCATCGGGTCTTTCTTTGCACCTTGCCTCATCATGATCCTGGTCTATTTGCGTATCTACCTGATTGCCAAACGCAGCAACCGCAGAGGTCCCAGGACCAAGAAAGGTCCTGGGGAGGGTGAGTCTAAGCAGTCCTGTCCAACTGTGCCTGGGAGGGCTCCTGCCTCAGCTAAGGTGCCAACCCTGGTCTCTTCTCTGTCTTCTACTGGAGAGGCTAATGGACACCCCAAGCCACCTGGTGAGAAGGAGGAGGGGGAGACCCCTGAAGATCCTGGGGCCAGGGCCTTGACACCTAGCTGGGTTGCCCTTCCAAACTCAGGCCAGGGCCAGAAGAAGGGTGTTTGTGGGGCATCTGCAGAGGAGGAACCTGAAGAGGAGGAAGAAGAGGAGGAGGAGGAAGAAGAATGTGAACCTCAGGCAGTGCCAGTGTCTCCTGCCTCAGTTTGCAGCGCCCCCTTGCAGCAGCCACAGGGTTCCCGGGTTCTGGCCACCCTCCGTGGCCAGGTGCTCCTGGGCAGGGGTGTGGGTGTTGTGGGTGGGCAGTGGTGGCGACGTCGGGCACAGCTGACCCGGGAGAAGCGGTTCACCTTTGTACTGGCTGTGGTCATCGGTGTCTTTGTACTCTGCTGGTTCCCCTTCTTCTTCAGCTACAGCCTGGGTGCCATCTGCCCGCAGCACTGCAAGGTGCCCCATGGCCTCTTCCAGTTCTTCTTCTGGATTGGTTACTGCAACAGCTCACTGAACCCGGTCATCTACACCATCTTCAACCAGGACTTTCGCCGTGCCTTCCGAAGGATCCTTTGTCGCCAATGGACTCAGACAGCCTGGTGAGCCTGCCTGACCCCTGCCTGTATGGGAATGGTGCCAGGGCCATCATATTTCTTGCCCTGCTCTATGTGGCTGTCTCCCTGGGGCCTTCTGGTCCCTGCCCAGCTCCTGCAGACCTCATGCTAGGAGCCTCCTGGAGAGATCTGGGTGCCCCAGAGCACAGGGGTCCATTTGAAGCCTTCTCTTCTGTGGGGGGACCTCTTTTAACCCCCTGCCTGAGCACAGGCATGGTTCAAACCTTCCCGAATGTAGCCGAGGCCAGGCTGGAATAGATCACCTCCCTCACAGCCCCCTGTAAGCCAATAGGTGGGCTTCCCTTTCCTGAGGACTCAGTGTGCCTTGGCAGGTGACTTGGTTGTGTTTTTGTTTCTTCTTCATCACCCCAAGTCCCCAAAGAGCAGGAAGCCAGCCTTCTGCTTTCCTTAGGAGGACCTGCTGCTGAGGAAGAGAAAGAAATGAAGACTGTTCACCCACGCTGGGCACCTGTGGTCCCCACTGGGCACTGGGATGGGGGTTTATGGGATAGCACTGTCTCTGGGCCCTTCTTTCCTCCTTTTCTCTGTTTTGGATTTGTGGCTTCTTTAAAAGCCAGAACCATGGATCAGTTTCCTTACTCCACACCCCTCTGGGAGGCAGGTTGGTGCCTCAGTGAGTTGGACTGGAGGCCTGGCTTCTGCCTCAATGGGCGATCCCTGATCACTGGCATTCACCCACTGCAAAAGCCAGGGCGGCAATTGCTTGCCGCCTACTTGCTGCAGAGAGATGAAAGGCTTTGCAGAAAGCTTTGAGCTTCATGGGGGAATGCACTAGCGAACCAGCAAATGTGATTATCTGATAATGTAAAAATCCCTTTTTGATGTGTTTACCACCACCCGCCTTCCTGTAGACTTTTGTTCTGTGCCTGGGGTGTGTGAATTCCTACCCCAAACTGGAAGCGGGGAGTGGCACACAGAATCACTATTTCAAGTTACAGAATTTCTTGGAGAATGTGTTCTTGTGCCTGCAAAAGTATGAGTTATTATGCTGGGTGACAGCTTCTCAATATGTCATCTGCAACACCAAGAGGCTTGGCCCCTACCCCAGTGGGGGATAAGTCTTTTTGTCATCAAGAGGGCAAATTATTTCCCTCAGATAGCTAAAAATACCCACACCACGGAAGCAGTCTGAGATGAGAGCCTCAGGTGGGGTGCTGGGGGTAGAGCAGGCAAGCGAGGCCCCATGGACTCCTGGAAGAGCCACCTGCTACGGCACTCAGCCAGATCTCCACCCCAGTGGGTCCTCATGAAGCATAACTCATCCTACTCCAGATGGGTGGCTTGCTGGCTGTCTAGGACCCTGTGGTGATGAGGTTGTGCACTGAGGGGCTGCTTCTTCCTGCTTCTCTTCCCTGCTCTGGAACCTGGTGCCTGGACCTGGGAGCCTGTAAGGAATGTGCCCCGTCTTCTCTATGGGCTGTCTGGCTTCAGCACTGGGCAGCAATGCTCCTTAGCTTCAGAAGAAGGGGTGGGCTGAGCACCACAGGCTGATGGTACTTAGATGGACTTGCTAGCTTTGGAAAAGTGGAGAGAGTGGTGGGAATATAAAAAGAATCCTTCATGGGGAACAGGGCTGTCTAGCTTGGTCCTTGGTGGGTTGCAGTTATGAAGCTAGGATATTGGCCAAAGTGTAGCTGGAGGGTGGTGGGGGAGAGTGGCTGGGCCCAGAGTAGGGACTGATTCATGACTACCTGCTGGCTGATTGTGTGTGTGCCTCATGGGCCCCTTGGTATGTGGTCTGTGGTCTCCTTGTTGTGACATGCAGGTGTTTTTTTGTTTGCTTGGTTTTTTTTTGTTTTTTAGAAGTCAAGCTATTTTATCAATAAAGGATATTTTGTAATAAGCAAGCAGTGTCTTTGTTGCCCAAGGGCTGCCTGCCAGGAGTTGTTACTCCTCAGTTCCTCGTACAGCACACATGGTGGCCCCATGAGTTGGGCTCCCAGGGCCAGCTTTCCTTTCTTCCCCCAGGTGTGGCTGTGCTGTCCTGTTCCCGACCCCCCCATACCTGCCTTTGTCTACTCAGCATCTTTACTCATCATCACAAGCAAGTGGGAGTGAGGGCATCACTGCAGGAGCCTGAGACTGGCTGCTGGGGAAGGAAGAGGAGTTGGGGCTCCCCAGAGGAGGTGGCCTTTGAGTTTGGGTCTTGGGGGAGGAGCAGGAGTGCCCTAGAGGCAAGATAGGAAGGTGTCTGGGAGTCGAAGGCCACATGCAGAGGCTGTTGAGTTGGATAGATTTGTGACAGCTTTTGACAGACAGCCTCAAGCTGCGCTGCTGGGTGGTCACTGCAGCAGGCAGGGGGCTAGCTGAGGTGAGTGGATACCGCATGGGTGAGAGGAACGGGAGTGGGAGTGGGGGAGGGGCCGCTTTGCAGAAGAGTGTGAAGCTGCTGTCTGTGGTAAGGGGCTGATGGGCAAATGGAGCTGCTTTGTGTCAGCTGCCCCATGCTGGGAACCGGAAGGCTGCTAATGCCACTGTCCACATGAGATTCCTGAAGTCCCTAAGTCCTCTGTGAGTGGGTTTAGGAATGAGTCCTCCAGGCTTCCTGTCCCACCTCAGAGAGGGAGCCTCCGGAGCCCCAAGCCGGGCTGGTCTGGCTCCATGAGCAGGGGAGGTGATGACAGGCTGGAGCCAGAAGCCACGGGCAGGATTAGTGCCATGGTGGACCCAGGAAGGGGAGGATGGAGAGAGGAGCCTGGGTCCTGGCCTGTGGGTCCACCCTAATGACATGTTGGTCCAGATCTATACTTTTGTCATCTCACTTTCTCAGGACCATGCTTCTGCCAGGGACAACCAGCAGAAGCCCCAGTGTACCCACCACCACTGGTAGACATGGTCTCACTGAAAACCCGCCCTGCCCTGCCCTGCTTGCAATTCCTTCTCCAGCCAGGGCAGCTCGTGCCAAGGTCCTGAGGCCTCGTAGGTGGATGGGGTGCTTCATGGCTCCCTTTCTCTGAGCCAGCCAGCCACTTCTCTGGTGCTTTGTCCTTTAATCCTAGGCCTGCCCACTGAGATAAGGCTCTGGTCATCTTCTCCAGGGGAAATCAGGCCCAGAAAGGTGTAATGACTCACCTGAGGACATCCAAGTCCATGCTCTTTCTGTTGGCCCGCAAGTCCCCTGTTGCATGGGGGTTTGCAAGGGGCAGGTCCAGGACCCTGCCTGTGTCTGGAAATGGAGACAAGAACTCAACCTGACTGGAGTTGATCTATTTGCAAGACCATTTTGAATACACCATTTTATTTAATCCTCATACCCTTCCTGGGAATGGTCATTTGACAAAAGAGAAAATGGAGACTCAAGATCACCCAACTGGGCCCTGGAATCATAAAACTACAAAATTCTGGTGTGGAAGAATTGTGGTTCCATTTCTTGAGGCAGCTTTCATTCAGTGGAGCATGGAGATTCTGAGATGGTATTTGGCTGGATTCCGTAGATGGCAGTGCTGTGACCGATGGTTCATGTCTGTTGCTGCCACCCAATTTGTAAGTGATGGTGTGTGTGTTTTCCACTCTTGGCAGCTCTGTTCAATCCCTGAATTTGATGAAGGGAGAGGCTGAGGCCCAGAAAGAGAGAGATGACTTGCTTCAGCTGGCTTCACACAGACACAGGGGAACAGAGCTGGGTCTAGAATCCAGGTTGCCCAGCATACTGAACTTTCTTATGGAAGGATTTGCACTGCTTCCAGATTCAAGGATTAATAGGCCCACCTTCAGGAAGCATCTGCTGGCACTCTGTATGCAGGTCCTGTACTAGGTGTGCCCCCTTTTGCTGCCTTACTCAGTTCTCAAACAAGGAAGATGAAGAGCAGCACCCCAGGGATTCACCCAAACTAATAGGGAGTTCAGCTGGAACATCCCCCTTTGCCTCCTGCCCTATTCCCAGGTCTCCGAGAATAGAGGCCTGAGCCCACATGAAGGTTACTAGGTTGGAAAGGCAGACTTGGAGTAGCAGAGATGGGCGAGGGGGTGGATACAGCCTTTTGCCTCCCAGGGAGTAACACTGGCAAAGGCTGTAGGGGGTGACGGCAAGGGGCAGGAGGTGAGCTGGGAGTCCAGCAGCTCACTGGGTAGAGGTGAGCTGTCTTGGGCAGGCACAGTGACCTTCTGGAGATCCCTTTCTTGAGACATCTCTGACTGCAGTGTGGCCCTGCTACAGAAGACAGTTAAAGAAAGGAGGGAAGAGGAGACTTCTTCAGTCATCCTGCTTTGTGAGAATCTGGGTCCTTGTTGGCAGGGGAGACCCCCTCCCCTGGTTCTCAAGAAACTTCAGAACCAGTCCCTGCCTTAGGTGGGGCTGCTGAGAATTCCTCTGTGGTGAGGCGCACTCTTGACCACCTGCTCAGGAAGTACTGGAAGCAGGAGAGCCCAGCTCCAGAGATTCAAGGTAGAGGGAGGCTTGTGGGTACTTAGGTCTGTGCCCCCTCCATGGTCTCTGCGTGATCTCCATTATGTATGTGTGTGTGTGTGTGTGTGTGTGTGTGTGTTGGGAAGGGGATGTGAGACTCATCCAGCTACCACCTGCAAATGGAGCATCTGTAGGCTGAAGGAAACATCTGCTCTGCTGGAGAGCCTAAGCCTTCTTGGTAAGGCCAGGCATTCTGTTCATGGGACCTGGTTACTGTGGGTGGCAGGGTTGGTGTGGGGCTCCTGTATCCATGAAATCACTGGGTGAGGTGGGAGAGTCCAGGGTTTGTGCCCTGCCTCTACTGCATTTGTTGGGCTGCCTTGGGGACAGGGCTTGGTCCCTCTCTGGGCCTCCATGTCCCTGCCTCCAAGGAGGATGCTCCTGTGGTCTCCAGGGTACTTTAGCTTGATTCTTCCCTGCCCTCTTCCTCCTGCCCCAGCTCCCCAGAAGGTCTAGACATGGAGGTTTCCACAGTTAATCAGTTCTCAGGGTCAGGCTCATGGGCAGGATCGGGCTGTGTTTTTCTCAACTTTGCACCTTAGAGCAGCACTGGGCACCAAGTCTGGAGTGACAGATCTGTTTGGGGTGTTTCAAGATG